CTAATCCTGCATATAATTTAAATTTAGTTTGACCCGGATGAAAATCTAGTAGACAATTATTTATCAAAACTCTACCCAAGGAATGCCTGGACCTTTTTTATCGGCATAGGTTCGTTTGTATAATTGGGCTATATCAGGCCCATTTATCAGTATGACTCTTCCCCAATTCGGTTCTCGCTTTTAGATCAGAAAGCATACGGCTGAGATCTTGCTAGCATGGATGATCCAACGGCTGAGAATCAATTTCATCCAAAAAGATGTGAGAGGAACAAAAGCTGATTCATATTTAGAGAATTCCAGAGAAAATTGAGGCATCCCTAATTTTACTGATTTCCAGAAAAAGAAGAAAATTCAGAGTTGTGTCTGTCTGTCTCTGACCACTAGCTTTTGTGTGTTTTGCCTTAAAGAAGATCAGATTCGCTAGGGTTCTTTGCTCTGGATTCTTCTTGCCAATTCTTGTGAGAATTTCTCACCACCTGTCCTGCTTCTTGACATTATCGGGTTTTGATTTCGTGGTAAGTTAGTTCCGAATTCGTCTTCGTTTTGTGTTCGATCAATCCGACAGGATCCGGATAGGTCGTTCCTTCTCCTTCCTAATCAAGATTCAACATATCGAGGGTTCTTAGATCGTTAATCGCACTGATGCTTGGGGAGATATGATCTTCTCCATATCTGGTTATTATTACTGGTTTCTGTATTATTATACTTAAGAAGATGTTACCTGTGAAAGAGGGTCTTCAGAGACAGGTTAAGGTTCTGATTGGAATTGGGAATTTAGGGTTTGGTGGTTGTCATAGGGGTTTCCACTCTAGGTTGACTAACCCTAACGGGTTTCTCGAACCTGCGAGCTCTGATTTGCTCTTGGTTAACGAAAGGAGGAATCTTTCTGTCGTTGGTGCTGTCTCTCGGACTTTCTCTGTGCCTTCAGTATCTGGTCCGGCCTTTCAGGTCTGTGGATATCACATTGATCTTTTGCTTTCGGGATCCGGCGTAGCTTCTTCGGTTTCCGGTAAATCGATGGCGGCTTGTGGTTCGAAATCCTTGTTTGTGGATCCTCGGGTTTCAAAGCGTTACGCTGGTATGGTGTATGGAGACGGAAGCCCTCCCAGCCGTGGAAGAATCAGTATGAGATTAAGAGGACGAGATCACCGCGAAGGTTCTTCTACCACCTATGGGTATTTTGCTTATAGAGCTGTGAAGAGATGGATCGCCTTGAATCCTCAGAGTGGAGGATGGGGTTTTAGAGGCTTGCATAGCTCACTTTTGAATCAGTATTCAGCTGGGAATGCGCCTGATGTCTCGTTCGATAACTCTGTCACGGAGGAACAAGTTAGAGATTCTTTGGATCCTGTAGCAGCTAAGCTATCCGCTAAGCCCCTCAAGCTTGTCTCGGGGTCGTGCTACCTACCACATCCTGATAAAGAGGAGACTGGGGGAGAGGATGCTCACTTTATCTGCGCAGAGGAGCAAGCATTGGGTGTGGCAGATGGTGTGGGAGGTTGGGCAGAGCTCGGTATCGATGCAGGTTTTTACTCTCGGGAGCTTATGTCTAACTCGGTCAGTGCAATCCAAGACGAGCCTAAAGGATCGATTGATCCAGCCAGAGTATTGGAAAAGGCTCATACTAGCACAAAGTCGAAAGGGTCTTCAACGGCTTGCATCATAGCCTTGACCGACCAGGGACTTCACGCGATCAACCTAGGGGACAGCGGGTTCATAGTAGTCCGTGAAGGGCATACCGTTTTCCGTTCCCCAGTTCAACAGCATGACTTCAACTTCACGTATCAGTTGGAGAGTGGAAGTAACGGCGACTTGCCAAGCTCAGGTCAGGTTTTCACGGTTGCTGTTGCTCCTGGAGATGTGATAATAGCTGGAACAGACGGATTATTCGACAACCTGTACAACAACGAGATCACAGCGGTAGTGGTTCACGCGGTGAGAGCTGGCATAGATCCTCAGGTAACAGCACAGAAGATTGCAGCGTTGGCGCGCCAAAGAGCACAAGACAAAAACAGACAAACCCCGTTCTCGACAGCAGCACAGGATGCTGGCTTCAGATACTATGGAGGTAAGCTCGACGACATTACAGTTGTTGTCTCTTATGTAGCGGCCTCAAAAGCGGAAGAAAAACATTGATATACCTAAGAGGCAAAAAAATATACAGATGTGTGATGTGTTGTTGAGTTTTAAGGGTTTGTGTCTTGCAGATACCTCTCTTTGTTTTGTTTGGTGGCTTGTAAGCATTCTCCTCTGATTGTATTTGATTTTTTGATATGTAAATAAAAAGAGAAAGAAGACTTGAAAATGGGTTATGAATAGCTCTTGTTTTCTCGTAATTAATTCACGCCCACAATAATCTCTAGATAATCTATCAACGCACCCACAGTAAAAGCGCTTGTAGTTTCTCTATTACATGATGTTTCAGTTCACACTGTAATCAAATTGCGATTTTAAGTGCTTTCTTTGATTCACCTAAACTATATAGTTTACAAAGAGAAAGGAGGACTTGTACATCACCAAATCAAACTACTAAAGTTTCTAATAACTAATCTTAGGCCTGGTTGACAGGGAAAAGAGGTTTCGGTCTCAAATCTTCTTCGTTGTGAGAATGGCTGAGAACATGATTTGAGACCGATATGATTTGAAAATGGTCCGACTATTTTGAGATCAGAAGTCAACAAAAAGTATGTGTAATGATGAGCTCGCCGTTTGAAGATGGATCCAAGGAAGCTTGGATTCTTATGGAGGAGGAACCTTCGGCTCTTATAGAGGAGGAACCTTCGACTCTTACTGTGACTGGTTTTCTTATTAGCTTCACTCCTTGCTTCCAATATCTTTCATCTGTATGTAGCGAACAACTATCACTACTCGAGCCCTTTTAAGCAAAGATGATTGTATAGCACCGAGGGTAATGAGTCTCATTATCTCATACCTGGTCCTGTTGAGATTACGGTTGAGTTTTCTTCATCCATCACCCAATCCATCCACAATGCAATTCCATGGCATACACCGGGTTTGATAAACTCAATCTGTTCGTAGAAAAAAAGCGTTTCTGAAAGGCAATCATCATAAAGTTGTTTGTGAATCTCCAGCTAGTAGCATACCTGGACTTCCCCATAACATGGACCTGTGATGGGCTTGGAGAAATCAAACTCCATGACTGTGAATTCCTTGCTAAGTTTCTGGAAATTGTCCAAGAAAAGGAACAAACTTAACATTTCCCGAAGCTTGTTTGTACATATACCAAAGTTTTATGTTTACCTTTGTCTCTCCACATTGCCAGATAAAGACGGGCAAACAAGGACTGTCTTTACCAGAAGGTAGATCACCACATCCCCCTAATGTTGTATTCACCAAAGCATGATCAAACCCTTCTACACTCCCAAGGCAACAACGGCTCTTCCAGAGATCCTGCACATAAGCCAATTCATGAATGTACAATCAAATGTCTCTGTTTAAGAATTGCTAAGAAATGATAGCACTTACAGGAAGAAACATTGCATAACCTCTCAAAACTCCTTTATACGGCATCACCACTGCATCTTTTGTCAGGGCAGAATCAAGTAGAGTTCTGTCCTTCCTTCACTCATACCAGAAAGAGAATCAGGCTATCATTAACAAATTTCTAGCGTATGTGTAAAGTGAAGAATCTAATAACAACATTACCAGAATCTGAGATTCTGCCATGGAAGCCCACTTTCAAGTCCGTAGTAATATGGCTCTCCGATCAACAGATCAATCTATTGATAGAACATAGGGCAACATGATCAAAATGGAACCCATCTCAGAAATTGAATGACTAAGTCTAACTACGGGGACATAACTTTTCGAGAGTTAGGCAACATGCCATTTGAATACGCTTCCACATGCCATTTCGAGAGTTAGGCAACATGCCATTTCGAGAGTTTACCTCATTTGAATATGCTTCCACCAACTTTGCCTTCCCTTCTCTAAAATATTTGAAACGATCTTTTGAAAAACCATTTGAATCAGCAATGGCTTCCAAGTATCTGGCAGCATTCTCTTGCAGCCCAGGCGACAATGATATGACCCTTGATCTGTTGGAGATATGTAGAGCCATAAGTGGTAAGAGAAGGCTATCATCAATGACGAGACAATGTGAATGAGATTTCCCCTGTAACTGTAGAATAGGTGAAGAACCATTAAAGTGTGAACTGGAATGTAGGAGAAAAATAGCACAACTATACTAATACCTTCTTATAACAGATTGGAGTAGTGTTCTCCATTAGCATTTAACAAACCAAAATATTACCACAACCTTATGCAGTTTTCAGAGGAAAATTTTGTAAATGTAAGACAGACATCGAAGGTTAGAACCTACAGCTTTTCTTGTGGCATCAATCATGGATTGCCTATATATACTGTCACCATATATTGCGACTCTTTCGGGTGGTAATGTGAGCTGCAGATCTCCAGTACTTAAAGGAGAGTTCTCACTTGTCAAACTTTGAGCCTTCTTCAGATTGTACAAGATGTTAGTACAAGTATGAGCAGCATGCAAATGAACTTTTTCTCCTTTCGATATGGACACACCTGCTCCTGGAGTAAACCAAACACACTGTTTCCAATGGTCACACCAGTCCCTTAGACCTGTATTAAAAATAAAAGAAATCAAACTTGGTAAAATGAGATCAGTGATCAACTACATCTTGTATGGGGTGAAAAGGGATCCCCTACAACCATATATAACTGCGTGAGATTTTACATAAATCACACAATTTCCACAGGAAGGTGTAACTCACCTATCTCAGAATTTGAATCTATCCATCTAGGAGCAGTAGAGTAGAAGATTGTTCCTTCACTATCAAGCTGCAGCACCCACCTGAACGGAAAGTATAAAAGCTTCCACATATCATACTGGGAAAACAGGTCAGGTCTTGAGCCCTTTGCCTAAGGCTTTTAGATGGAATGCATGAATATGCATCACCAAAAAATATAAAAGCTTCCACACATCTCAATGTAGTGTGGACAGAAGCTTTTCAGAGTCAATGGCATTTTTGTAGAGTAATATTAACTATGAGTATTGTGAACATACTATCCGCAGTTCAAGCACCCATAGAGAGAAAAGAGAAGACAGGAAATGACGTATTACCATGAAATTATAGCATGAATACTACCCTCTGTTATTGCTTCTATGTCCACTCCAAGCTCTCCATTACTTTCTGGCCGTTTCCAAAAGTCAAATTCAAATATTTTGACGGGCTCTGACAACTGGATGAATACATGAATTGAGTGTATAAAACTTAAGCTTATTGTAAACCATAGGAACAAATTTGGGATATAAGTACCAGTTTGATCTCTTTCTCAATAGCATCGACATGCATACCATATTGTTGTGACTTGATGCCAAGTAGACTCTCTAAGCCAGGAGGTACTAGACGAACACCATCTGGTTTCTTAGCCTCGTTATTTTGTAAATCATGCATGTTACATAAGAACGTGCTTTCTACAAGCTTGACATTGTACAGAAAAGAAAAGGGAAACAATGTGAGAGGACATTCAATCAGGCTCAAGACAAACAATGAAGTTAAACCACAAATTGGAAAGTAGAATCATGATAGATCAAGCAACGGACCTGGCAATATGTAGTAGCTCGGTACGGCACTGATTTTGGATTGTCAACGAGCAACATGTCATGAGCATGTTGTAAACTTGGGATTAAACCTTCACCAAGTAACTCAGAGTCCAATATTTCACTTACCTAATGAAGAAGAGCAAACAAAAATGTTGGAATCCCCACAACAGCAATGTATCATATCACTAATCATGAGAATCTATTACTCACAAGAACATGAGCTCGTGAATCAAGATCTTCCCCAACTTTGAGTTCATCGGATCGTTTGTTGATAAGGTTAATGTTCTTAGCCATACCGTTCTTATGCAAAACCTTCCTCATAAGCTTCACCATGGGAAGGTACGACTCGCACGCCGTAACAATTCCCTTAGAGTCACCGGTCCCTTCTTCTCCCATTGCTCTTGCAGCCATCATCGATAGCAACCCAGTTCCAGCACTAGACGCACACAAAATCCATCAATATGAATCAAAGCAACAACGAACGATTTTCTCAAGTAATGATTGGAAGCAATTGAGTTATGGAAATGAGAAGAACCCGATATCAAGGACGTGGCAAGGTTCGGTTATGGTTTTCTCGATAGCTAGACGGAAAGCTCGGTTGCGACAAGAATCATTGAGCATGTCCAGATACGATGTCCTCGCGAGGAGGCCGTCCGTAGAAGTTTCAGGAACACCACCGGTTTGGTCATTCTCTTCGATGACAATCCACTCCGAAGTGCCGGTGAGAGGGTCTTGTCTGAGCTGGAAGACTCGCTGGTTCGATTGAGAGCTCATGGTCCGAGCAGCGACGGACCTCAGGCGAGTAGTCACTGAGAGGCACCGGAAGGAGAGAAATGGAAGAAAAGTTTTGGGGACAAGAGACAGAGCCGACATGGACGGAGCCTAATAAGGTTTTAGCCGCCGTGACTCGTAACATTCGGCCTTTTATTTATTTTATTTTTCTTTAGGCCCCATAAGTTTGTATTCCTAGCAAATGAGCATAAGAGTTCTTAAATTCTATTGTAAAGTACAATATCGTCTGGATTCAATCTTGAACCGAAATAAAAATACTATACTAAATCGGAACTTACAGGAACTAGGGGGTTAACTCCAGAAAATAAAATATTTATGGGGTTAAAATGGAAGTATAAGTTCCCGCATATTATTTCATTTCGGAATTTTTTTTGCCCGGACGGTTTTCTCTTTCCAGTACCATCATCCTCCGACTTTGAAATCGAAATCGAAATTCGAATTTGTGCGGCGATTTAGAATTCCGATCAGGGGGAATCAATGGCGGAAGCGAATCAGGCGTGTATTTTCTGTCAGATCGTGCGCAATCCCACTTCCACTCGTCTTCTCCACACCGTAAGTTCCCCAACTTTCGCTCGATCCTCTCTTGTTGGAAAATTTTGATCAAACGTTGAATATATCTGGGTTTTGGTTTCTTCAGGATGATAAGGTCGTTGCGTTTCAAGACATCAAACCCGCAGCTCAGAGGTTCTGTCGATTCACTTAGCTTTGATTTCATTAGATTCTCGTACAAATCAATCTTCAGCCATGGCTTTCTTTGTCGAATTAGAATCTGGAAATTTGATGGTTCTTCCTGGTAACTGTTAGTATCTACCTGTAATCTGGTTTATGAAGATGACGATCAAACGGAACACAAGCAGTTAGTATTACCATTAATTTGTATTCTTCATGCACTTTGTGATAAAAATCTTTTAGAAACATGAAAACTGCGTCATTGTGTATTCCAAAGTATCTGCGTTTGGATTTCTAACCTTACTTTAGGAATGAACTTGAATCCTTGGAACAAGTGTTGCTAAAATTGGTGGTTATTGATTTCTTGTGAATTGGGTCTGATAGAGACCGTTTACTTAGCTATCTACCGCAATCACTTGCACCTTCTTGCTTAAGTAGCTGCCATTTATTATTAAGAACTAAGAACTGATGTAGGCACTATCTGGTAATTCCCAAAGAACACATTCCAACTGTGAGAGACCTTCAGAGAAGAGATGAAGACTACTCACTCGGTTGGTCAGCAAAACATATTATACAGTATACACCATTTTCTATTATACCTATGTAAAGTTTCCCTAAGGATGTTCATTTTATTATGATGTGAGCAGTAAGTCACATGCTAAGTGTGGGACAAGCACTGCTGCAGACAGATGCACCTCAAACCATACATAGGTGAGGCTTCTTGGTTGCAAACACTAAATTAAATCAATTGTGAATTTTGGAGTAAGTCTATTCAAACCCTCTACATGGGATATTTTACAATTTCAAATGATGCTCGAAATTAATTGCTTGACATTTTACTTCTACTCTTGTAACTTATGTTGCATTAACATGATTTGTACTACTTCACAGGTTTGGTTTTCACCAGCCACCTTTTAACAGTGTTGATCATCTCCATCTCCATTGTTTTGCATTACCTTTTGTGCCCAGGTAACAGAAATGCTTCATAGTCTCTGATCTTTCTTGGGAAATTCTTTGCATCCCTCTTCCTTTCACATGGCTTGAATAAGCTTGTTCTATAATTTATTATCAAACATTGACATCAAAACAGATGGAAAGCCATCAAGTACAAGTCTTTGGGACCTTTTGGTGGTTTTATTGAAGCAGCAACGCTGCTGGAGAAGATAAGACCTCACCGTTCTTTACCTTCAAAGGTGTAACTGAACCGACTTGCTTAGCTGCATTCTGGTGCTTCTCCGCTAAAACTGTGCAATATCTCTTTTCTATTCTTTTGCTGGCAAATCTATTATGAAATTCCTAATATTATTGTGGATTTTGTATGGGAGAAGGACATGTCTAAGTAATTTATGTAATTTCTGGTGCTGACTAATAGTTGTAGGCAGTAACGCCATTCTCATTATTCTCATTCTTTATGGGTATGAAATGTAGACACGAAGGATTCTGATATAATATATGGAGTAACTGCTATAAGATGTCGACTTAACCACAGACTTAGGTTCCATATAAGATCTTTGATATACTAATGTTGTTTTGATGCCCTCACATCTCGAAATGTAGGGGAGGTATTGGTCGCAGTGCATGAGATCATCATCACCAGACTCCTGCTTAACTGGTGCAGATGTGTTCATGCAACAGCATAGTTATCTGCAGAACAGGTAATTACGTCTTGAATAAAATCTTTCATTCTAACAAATTGTAGGAGTTATAAAGCAGTGTGAAACGGAAATGGTAGACAGAGAAAACCTCATAACGCTCAAGTTTCAGACTATTGCTTATACTCGGGTTGTTTAGATTGACCATTGCCCCTTTTTAGGGGGATCCCTATGAATCGGTAGCGCATATTAGAGTTTAAAGTTATAGACACCTGATCTTATCTAAGTATTAAAGCAAGATGCCACTGAGATCAAACGTAATAGTCTTGTCTGTTCACATGCAACTTGTGCAGTTAGATAGAAGTACAGCTTGCAGTTGCAGTGTCCTGAGCTTCTTTGGTTGATATTTTGGCTACAGCACTACTGTTTCTAAGATATGTTTTTCTGAGATCAAGTAAAAAGATTTGTTATGGTACATTCTGGTGACGTTTGATAGAAACCACTGGAACTCAAGAATATGAGCTAACAAACAACAAAGCTTCTTAATGGTGTTATGACAAAAATGAGTTTTGCAATAATTGAAATTCTTGATTTGCCATTGTCTTGAAGGATTAAGGCCCACAAATCATAAGTGTTTTTTGGATGGATTTACTGGTAATCCTGAACCACCCCTGTCAAATACCAACTCTTTGTTTGGTCCTTGCTCTGTTTTTTAGTTAAAATTCTGTATAAGACAGGTTGACATCAACAAAACTTATTATTTTCTTGAATTTTTTCTGTAATAGATTTTGTCCTTATTATTATTATTTTTTTTTGTATTCTAATGCCTTTGAACAAAGTTGCAGGTAATCAATCTCTTCTAAAGCAGAGAGCTTTAACAGTTAAATATTAATATGTTTTGTTGATTGGCAATGATTATAGATGAAGAGGTTGGTGAGTTCGTCTTCTTCTCTGTTTGGTAATAATATAACTCTTAGGTTTCTCAAAAAATTATTATTCCCCATGTCCCATTGTTTTGTTACCATTGTGTCACTTTATGAAAACTACCTGTCTAAGTATAGCCTAGGGTTCGATTACCGCTGCTTTAGTTCCCTAGTTTATCGGATCATATGCATTCGCATAAAAGTAAGTATCCATATCAAATGTATACAGTTTTATGGAAATAGTATGTGGCAATCTTTTTGATTCTTTCAAATCTCTAATAAGAAACTTTTATATGTGTTTATGGCTACACAAGAAAGCTAAAAAGCTAAAGCTGGCCTTTGCGAGTTGTGAGGAGAACAGGTCCGGAGAAGAAGACAGGCAATAATAATCATAAGCCTTTTGTTCTTGCCTTGTTGGAGTGATGACCAAAGTTATTGATTCATTTTGCCATAAAACTACAAAAAGTGCAATAACGTCACTCTCAAGTCTCAACCCTCAGGTTTGCCTTTTGCTTCATTGGTTGGCTCCTTCTCTCTCG